CTAGATCATACCTTAAAAATGGTTGCCACTCAAACACTCCAAACAGGCTTTTGAGAAGTAGCTCCCAAATTTAAAAAAAAAAAAAAAGGTTAAATACCAGCCCATATGCACTGCTTCTTTCCTTTCTTTTTGTTTCTCATCTGGATAGACAAAAGGGGTTTTTTTTTTTTTTTGGTATTGCCTTTTATGAAAATTTCATTCTTAGTTAAGAAAACAATAGAAGAACATGAAGAGTCAGCTTTACATTTTTACTACTTACCCTAGCTATCTTCACAGTGTTAGGAAGCACAGATCAATTCAAAATCTTGCCTTTAAACAAAAATTCAGCTACTCCTCAGGGTTTATAAATCCTTAATGTAGAATTTGGCTGATTGGGATTGGTCAGAAAAACAGGCACGTGTGAGTAAAGTAGAAATCGTTAGGAGGAGAGACAAATGCTAACAAAAGCCATGTATAAAGAGTTAAGCTCCCAATTAATCCACTCTCAGTCTTGTCAGGTTGGCTTACATTTGACTCCATTTCTGTTACCCTGTTACCATCCATCACTTTTCTAGAACAAAGACCTGGCCATAGAGCCAGATACCTTCTCTTCCATAATGCATATCCTGTACTGGGAAAATTAAATGCCAAAATAATGCCAAATAATGTGAAGTGGATCAGTTTTTAAACACCGCATCTACCTTTGGAAGTTCTGAGCAATGCCACTGCTAACAGAAGTCAAAACTCCAGTACCAGTAAAAAAATATAAAATCTGCTTTTTAAAAAAAAAATAAATCTCTTTTTAATTCTTTGTAACAGAATCTGTGGGGAAAAAAAAAACCTCTTTTGCTCCTGGGCTATCTTGAAATGAAACAGTCTTTCTGTTGTTCTTCTTGACTTATTTTAAATTTACAGAACTCACTTTAGACATTATTTGAATTATTCATCTTTTTTAAAAAGTTAAATTTTGTTTGCATTCTTTCTTGAATTAATTTTTGAGCTGCAAGAATCTAACTACAGATGACCAAATCAATGTTTCATGAAACTTCATGTAAACTATCATCTTGAGGAGGAATATTCTTCCTTAGAAAATGAGGAGAAATTAGAGGAAATTAGGATTTTGCAAATTTGGCTACTTATTTACATGACTGAATATGCATTTGGAAAACTAATTACTAATTTTAGGTAGCTATTTTGAAAATTCTGATATGAGATTTTAAAAACATCTGTTGTGGTAGTTTGCTGTCCAGGACAACATATTAAAAAAAATATTTCTTGTTTAGAAATGTATGTCTAACAAAAAGCATTTCCATGTTGGAGACATGTATTGTCATTCAGAAGTTAAATTCATTTGTGATGGTGTATGTGACATCTTTCTTAAATCACTCAGAGTCAGTAATCACTTCTAGTTGTTTTTGGTATGGAAAAATAAACTCTACTGGCAATCAAAATTTGCGAATGCTTCTTTGTTCACAGCACTGTCTTGCTAGGCAGCTTTATTTTGCCGGGGGAAAAAGAAAGGCAGAGCTCAATTAGGTTGCTTCTTACTCTGTGCCTGAATGGCTACGAAGGATAAGACACCTGAGTGTCCAGACGTAAAAGGAAACTCAGCCCCAAATATTGACCACTAGTGCCATTTTCGATCACCTTTGTGATCCTGCCTGACCTCCAGCTGCCATTTCCGTCCAGCCCAGGTCTCCCACAGATCCGGTATCACCCCTGCCAAGCCCCAGGCGGCTCTCTGGGTCACCAGGATAGGCATCACAACACGAGATCTATAGAGGCACTAAACAGCTATGTTAGAGTTATTCAGCCACTGCATCCTATCCAGCCTCACTGGAAGCTGCTGTTGATGGACAACTTGCTACAAAATTGGTTTGTAGTATTAACCCAATACTGGCAACAGCCATGTCAATGCCCAGACAATGTGCACTGACTTTCCCAGTTTGGTAAATAGGAGCGTTATTGTCTGTGATCTATTCATTGAGACAATGCTGGCTCATAGAAGTGACTTTGTTCTTGTGGGCTACGAAGTATACAAAGTACACACAATATTTACAAAGTACCTTAGTACTATTTTGATTAATTTTTACTAGAGAGTTAGTGGTTGTTTCAAAGCTAGATTAGTCATTTTGTCCATAACATAATCTCTTAAAATCTGCTTCAGCGTTTTGAATTGGCTTCAGGGATAATGGTCAGAAAATGGCTCCATCTCAGTCTTAAGACTAAACTTGATTATTAGGTCTGGAGATTTCATATTATCCTGATTTATAAGTGAAAGATGAGGAAAAGCTGGAGTGCTGCACATAGAAACCTGTGGCATCATAAGCTGCATCTCCATGGAAAAGGTGCAAATGAAGTACAGCCCTTACGTTCCTCGGCTGATGTTCATAAAGATGAACAACCACAGACACCCAGGTTGTTTCTGTCTTACCATTTATGCAACCCTAGAGAGCATTAGATCGGGTAACTGGGTAGGTAGAGCTTGCACATGAGTTCAAAGCACAACCTCTTTAATGGAGTAAGACAAAATGGACAATAAATGTTTGAATAGACTTTATATAAAAACTCTTTTTTTCAGATTAGTGTTTTGGAGATGTGTTATAGATTGCTTAAAAATGTCTTAACCATGAAACACTGCATAAGGAACATCAGCATGCATCAGCTTGCATGTGACACGCTTTAGCACGCTTGGAGGTATAAAGAAGTTTTGGCTTTGTGGAGAGGTGATGTGTTATGTTCAGTGTGTGGGAGGATACACCATGCAGATTTGATTGCATCATCTTGCTCTCTTTTTTCTTTTCTTTTTTTTTTGGTTCCAGATGGTAAAACAAAGACTGTAGTGAAACCTGTTTTCTCCCAGGAAGAGGTGGGAGGGAATTTTATATGAGCAAGAAACTTTGCCTCAAGTCGAAATCTGGGGCCTGGACTAATGAACTACCTGTAATTCACATTGTACTAAATATTGCTGCAACTAGGCATGTACTAATCATGAACCATGCCAAACTATGCATAATTACTATGCTTTCTCTGTAGCAGTAATTAATTTGCGTTAGCAACTTTGATTAATCTTTCTGATCTAAAAGTGCAGTGCTTCTCAGACATGAAAGGTTCTGTAACTGCTCAGGGTTGTTATTGCAGCCCAGTGCCGGGTGTTTCAAACCAGTGGGGGGCAGGAGGGGGACCAAACTTTAAAAAATCAAAGTATAGCTCATATTTATGAACTAATAAAAACTATCAACGGTTAAAGCATTCTATTTTGCCCCAGAATCCATCGTCTAAACTACAAGCTTCCATACATACTACATTCCTCCTGAAACACAGGAGAATTGCCATTCATTCAGTCAGAGGGCTTCTCTGGGGGCTGTCCCACAAACATGTGGGTTGTATGCTGAGCAGAGAGACTGGGATTCCATCCTATAGAGGGCAATGCTATGTATTTAACGTGTGTAATGCTGCAGTGCAGACTTACCCATAAATTCCTTTTAGTCTAACCCGGAGGAAAGCGTTGTTCTAGGCATGATTGTTCAACTGTGCTGTTGAGTCAGTCCTCACTGTCTGTCCAAAAAGGGTGTCAGCGGTGCTGCCTGCGAGTGATTTGGACACGCTTGCTTTTCAGGAAATATGTATGCTAACATCATCACCTTAGACTCTGTTGACAAACAGAGAGCTATCAGATGCTAACGTACCAACTAAATTCTGACATCACTGGAGAAAATTTTCCATACTCCATTGCCAACCTCCCGGCCCAAGCCAGGCTCTTCACCCAAAGGAATCCAAAACTGCTGAAAGGACCTGTGTCATCAAATTGTCGTTGTGACCTAGGCTTCATAAAGTATCAGATCTACAAGAGGCAAAATTTCTGAGGCAAAGAGGTGTGTCTCTACAAACCCAATAAAAATCCAATAGGGTTTTTAAGTTAATGATGTGTTGCTCGTTTTCTCCTTCAGACATGCTAATATTACAGTAATTTTTTCTTGTTCCTTCTGTTAGCACCGTTTCCTGGCAAGGAATACTGCCACACGTAATTCATGATAGGCAAAATGACATGATAATAATTTGGAAATTGATAGTCTAAAGATTACTAATGAACTCCAGTCTGGCTATAGATAATTTTTTTTAAAATGCTGCTATTACCTCAAAGTCTGGGATCATTTCTGTTTCTGCAAGTTAGAGAAATATTTTTAAAATACATAACTTATTAGAAAATGTAAATGTGATTCCTAGAATTTTTATTTTTTTTATGATGCTGATTCAAAAAGGGAAGTATTTGTGATAGTTTATTTTCTTACAGTTGCGGTTTGTGTCCAAATATTTTATAATCACATCAGTCAAAGTAGACAATATATTGATGTCGAAACAAGCTTTGTAGAAGACATTTTTTTAAATCAGGCGTGGGACTTTACATTTATTAGAAGGTGTTCACATAAATAAGGGTAACATCATGCATATTCTTTGCAACTAAACCCAGTTATGGTTACAATTTGGAAAGAAATTTAAATAGACATATGGAGATACAGTAGTACATATACACTCTATTTATGACATTAAGTTAGTGTACTGATAACTCTCAGCAATACATCAGAAGTCTACAACCAGCTGATGGAAAGATTGTATAAGGAGGAAGAAACTGCTTCAATTTCTCACGTCATTTATGTGGCTTGACAACAACGTCAGTGTGAATTGCCTCCTAAATTTCGAGGCAAGAACAGGTCAGGACTATACTTTTGCAGTACAAAACATTTATACACAAAATACACATGCATTGCGATGCATTGGAAATGGGTAAAGCAAGGAGAAACCCATTAGTCAATGCTTTATTAACACAATTCTACAAAGGAGTCTCAAATATAGTTCACAGTAAGGCCACAATATTACAATGGATAAGGACCTTAGAACTCGGCAAAAAAAAAACATTCTGTGTTAATAATAGAACCCTTCCTTCTTTATAGATTTTTATACATGTTCCTGAATGGTATCGCAGCAAAGTCCTTCTTCTCCCTCTCTTTTTTTTTTTTTTTTAAGTTTAACATATTGCTTAATACAACAGTGAGCACAGTAGAGAAGGGTACTGTCACAGGGAAAACAAAACCTATGTAACATTCATGTACTTTTGAGACTATACGCTAGGTGCATTTAGATGAAGCTGGCTAATCAGAAAAAAGACTAGCAAAGGATTTTCTCAAGTTTCGAATCGTTTCAGCTTTTGCTTCATCTTCACTCACAGATGACCGAAAGAAGGATGATTCTGTGAAACTGAAGGCATTTGTCAAAGACTGCGACTTGCTGCAAGACAAAAATGCAACATTTTTGATATGGTCATATTGTCTACCAGCTTCCATCCACATATCACTTGTATAAATTATGAGAAAAGGAGAAGTGTCTGTGAGATGTTAGAGAGTTTGCATGTGAACCAAACGGACATTCAGCACAAGCAATATCGTTAGAGGTGGCATACAGAGCTGCTGCAATACAGCACATTCCTTCTGGACTTTGGTTTGAGAAGCAGGAGAATCTTTTCTTTAGAGAAGACACCGCTTTTTGCACAGATCTGTATTCCAGTGAATTGGATGATGTAAATTAGAACTTGAGACAAAGCCAGGCCTGCCTGCTGAATCCAAATCACCACCCAACACAGGAGGACCAATAATTGTGTTTGTTAAGGCTGCAAACAGTTAAGTTAGATATATTGGCAAGAAGAATGAAGCCTAAAGTTGTAATGTGCTCTTTCTCTCTCTATGTATAGTTGACATTGGATCCTTAAAGCAGGGACACTTTATATTGTAAAAAAAATTCCCTACTGTGTAATTCCTAACTGTGGTATGAGTCCCTGTAAGCAGGAATAAAATAACATACAAGAAGGAAAATGTCTGAAGTTTAAAACTTTAACTCATGACTTGTCAGATAAAATAATATTTTTAAAGTAGGCTTGAATTTACATAGAAAACATTAATGAGTTATAATCTTTTTTATGAAGATAACCATGCATTAGTAAACCTAGTTAACTGATTTCATTTTTATCTCAGTACAATAATAGGATTTCAGTTTTGGCTATAGTAAAACTGAAATACTTTTCTTATTCAGATTTTCTTATACTCCCCATGGTTTGCAACTTCTCTACCTCTAAACTAATAATGCACAGCAAACAGTGCTACAGGCATTTTAGGTTTTTCATAAATTATAGTTGTGTTAATGAGAATAGACTGATAAATGTTTGTTTGTACTCACTGAAAGAGGGAGGGTGGGAAGCAGCACTTGACTTGATTAGTAACACAATAAGTAGCCTAATTAAATATTTATTCACAGATCAATAACATGTACATACAGGTTAGGCAACAGCATGTGGGTGAATACAAAGCATACACATGCAAATAGATAGAGTTAATCTTACAGGCAGGAGATCTGAGTCTTGGTGTGGACCTCAAGCTGCTTCTTGAAAGTTAGAAAAACTACTCTTACTATGGCTTGCGTCTTAAAAACTTTAACTTCTCCCTTTTTATTTTAAGTAGAGGCTATTCTCTTCAATTTGAAGAAAAGAAAAATTAATCTAGATTTGAACAAAGAACTAAAGGAAAGGGAGAAAGCTGAGAAACAGTACAGTTCTTCTGGATCTGTTTGAAACTGTTTTTCTTAAATGTCAGAAGTTCACAAATTAAGTTTCAAACTAATTTAGAGTCTTCAATTCTTGCTTAAGAAAACTGACCTCCATATTCTCTGGGTATACCTAAATAATGGATTAATCAATTTGAGTTTCATGATTATAAAACAGCATACAGAAATACACCGTCCTAGGGAGGCAGAGAAAATATTGTCATCTTTGCATATTGTCACCTAACACATCTTTTGCATTGAATCGTGCTCAGGTGAGGATTCAGAATCGGTTCACACTAGCGTTAGCATACGAGGGGGCGGAAAAAGGGGATCTGTGTTACTTGGATAAAACACAGACTACGTGCCAGTCTTTGTATTTACCAAAGGGAGCAGCATGTGTCTGAGCTCTGCTGGCAGCAGTGTGTGTCAGGATCGCGAAGTTGAAAAAACAGCAAATCATTGCTTGTACCTTCCCCACGCTTTCTGTTCACGGGGTTTGAGCCATGAGAGGGGCTACAGCTACAGATCCTTTCCATGTTCTTTGCCGTAGCGTGCGGCTGGCAGGATACAGCAACAGTGGCACACTGTGCGTGCCGGAACCCTCCAGCAGTGAGATAACTACAGAGCGCTCTCCGTGCGGGTCCTGCAGCCCGCTCTGGAAAGGACCTGTGGGAACGGCTTGTGCTGTACAGGCAGTAGCAATGTCTGACCACGAACAAACTGCGGCCGTAAAGACACGCGGCTTGGCAGCCGCTGGCTAGCATGACCATTTGGGCTGTTTCTGAGATAGGCCTTTTGAAATGGGAACCTGCTGCCTGAGTGACTGCAAGGTTAAAAGTTGAACTAGATAAGGCTTCCTCTTTTCTGTGCAGGCTTACAGCACACCCAGATCATGAGTCAGTGACATAAAAAGGAGAAAACAAATACGAGAAACATGATGAGTTTGCAGACCTAGTTGGGGCAGAAATTGCACAACTAATAAATTGAATTTGGTGTAGTGCTTAGAAGACAACGAATGATGCTGTCTTACTAATCACAAACAGAGAATAAGCATTTTGAAATGTTTTAACCTCGTTTTAGACTTGGGAACATACGGACTTTTTTTTTTCATGAATATTAGACCAACTCCCAAATTACAGTTACAACAACAAAATCTGTGTTATGAGGAGAAAAGAACATGGAGAAAGCAAATCTTACTTAAGTTGTGGATGCGACTGAGGCTTCTGTTGTGGAGCGGGCTGTGGAGCGGGCTGTGGAGCGGGCTGTGGCTGCGGCTGCGCTTCTGCTTCCTTTGATAACCTGGTGCTGGGAGGACCTTGAGCCTGGGGACGTGGCTGCTGAGTTGTAGGTCCAGGTGGCCGCTGTGGCTGGGTAGCCGAGGGCTTTGCTGCCTGCCCGGGGGGGTACATGCGCTGTGGCTGCAATGGCTCCTGGCTTTGTGATTGCATTCCTTGGGGTTGCACTGGGCCCCCTAGGTTCAGTACAAGAAAAACTTCATAATGTCATAGTATCAAAGAATTCTTACTAGATTTCATATCCAACACTTTAACATAATCCTTGAATGTGATTAATTCTACTTTTGAGGCAAAATTCTATTCATAGGGACTGCAGTTCCATGTAGTCAATGCTACTAATCGCAGTTGGTACATTAGTAACTCGCTTGGAGCCCCTATGCTTCATCCCATCCTTAAAATTTCTAAGAAGCATAAAATTTACCCCAGCAGCAGCAGTACTGACTTCAGATCAAATCGGTGGAGTTACACCCAGTATAATTTTGGCCCAGCTCAAGGAGTGGCTGCGAGATAATTTAATTTACCAGTAATATCTATTTTAGCAATACAGATACTATTTTCTGTGTAGTTACCACAGTTTTGTTCCTCCAAGGTTTTAAAATTATTTCTGTAATATTCCTTTTAGAGTCACTCTTCTAGCAGTAAAACATTACACTAACATTTTCCAGCTAATTTAAAGTCTTTTGATAACTTCTTTAACCCCTTAGTGAAATCTATCAAGAACATTACAAGAAACACAAGGAAGTTATTACTAATTCTTTACCAAGGAGATCTGTCCACTGAGAAGGAAGTATACTGGCAAAATACTGTATTAAGTGTGAAGCTACAATGTGCAGAGGAAACTTGGGTTGTGAAATCCATGGCTGAAAGATGCTACATCATCGGACAGAGGGGTTTTTTTTTTCTGCTTTCTCACTGAAATAGCGCTGTGTCAGATATCAGCGGGCATACTGCTTTTATCTCATATCAGATGTCTGTGGTTTTCTGGGCTGACGGTTGCTATAAGGGAATTTTTATTCTTGCATGTGACAAGGCACACAGGACATCTGAGTTAAGGGGAAGAAATTCTGAGCGATTTGTTTGTATAATGTTTCAGTCAGGGTAAGAGCTCTGCTGAACAGTAAATATTATAGAAGACAACTGATCTAGATGTTCTGAACATTCTGAAATTTTTAGTATTACACAGATATTTAGTGCGAGTAGAAGAATCTATTCAGGTCTCTAAAAGAAAACCTTTATATCTGGAAGTACTGTTACAATACATGGTTTATTTTTTTTTTTTTAAATTGCTATTATGGTTAGCTTTCCACTTACTATATGAGATTCCAGTGTGTGTGTCTGAGAACAGCACGTACTAATGCTTCAGTAAGTTTTAATACAGTTGTAGCAGTGTGTTGTGGTGTAGAAAGATAAATAGCATGTACTGTAGGTTAAGGAATGTGCCTTCATTGTTTATTAATTTCAACCACTTTTGTAGGAAATATTTGAAGGTGATAACATACTCTTGCAACATCTTAATAAGGATCATCTTCTTATGACTCTCCTTTCACTCAATATTGAAAAACAGAAAGGTTTCTTTCCCCCACTTGTACGTACAGGCTTGAATGCCAGAAACTTTACACTGAAGACAGATATAACTTTCTTTTATTGCACATTAAGCTGTACAAGATATTTCACATAAAAGATATACTGCTGTCACACTTCCAGCATTTGCTCTCTTTCTTGCAGCTGGGTTGTACAAAAGGCAACAATCATGAAAGAAACTTTTACCAAAAATAACTCAACAAAACTGAACATTAAGCCTACACTGTAAAACATCTGTTCCCTGTTACCCACAATATTGCACCTAAGCATGCTTACATGCAGAGACATTTTGGCTTGCTTCTTGTCTGTGGTATGTAGTAATAGTGTGTGCCCTTGTAAATCCTTTACAGTCAACAAGCTGAAATCCTATCTGAAACACCCATCTCTTCTTTGCACACACAACTCACAAACGTTGTGTGAAAAGCACTTGTGAATACTTGTACTACTACATGCAAAAAATACCAACTGCTTTAAATAAAATCAATCATCAGATTCATTTCTTCACCCCAGGGCAGTATGGTTTCTTCTCTTTTATGGTGTCTGGAGGTAAGGATTTGTGAACCTGATTCTATGTGGAATTTTCTTAATATAGAACAAAGTAGCCAATGCCATTATTGGAATGATCACTGACCCAGACGAATGCTGATCACTGAAGCAAAATATTCATGTAATTTACTGATAGGTAGTAAACAGTAGCACTTACCACAAACATTTAAATAGCTAATAATGCATACCTTAATTCTCATCTTGCCAGCCAGCTTGTACAAATAAAAGAAACACTAAGAATGATGATTCTCACTGATAATTTTTTCCAGTGTTTGTAGGGAA